CTAGACACATTCAGCCATCTCATCTTCGATAAAGGAGCCAAACACCCTCACTGGAGGAAAGATAGCCTCTTTAATAAATGGTACTGGAAAAATTGGGCTTCAATTTGACAAGGATTAAAACTAGACCTAAATCTCTCGCCATGCACTAAACTAAAATTGAAATGGATTAAAGATCTAAATACTAAAATAGAAACTCAGTTGGAACAGAGGTTAGGTAGAACCCTTGAAGGCATTGGTGTAGGAAAAGATTTTACTTTATATGTCATTATATTGTATATCTAAAATATATCAATAAAATTAATTTTAAAAAATCTAATTCTCCTTGGAGCTGTATGTCTGTGTTTCTGCATTTAGTACAGGGAAAGGTCTGAGAGATTGTCCATATTTCTCTGCCGTACTGCCTGAGAATGGCATGGACTTTTTCAATTTGGAACTAAATCCAACTTGCGCCTCTTGGAGGATGATGAAATAATGCCTCCTTCCTTCTCCCTTAATGGACATTGTGCGTATTGACACTGCAGTATATGAAAGCAATATTTATGCTGTAAAACAGTTATTTTCTAGAGGCCCACTTCCGGGGCAGGGAATGCCATGGAGAATGAGTCATCCCAAAGAAACGGTAGAGGTGGGTGGGGTGGGTAACTTGTGCCAGGAATGGCGAAATCACCCTGAGTCCTCTGAAGCCAGGCCAGTGTAGCTGTTTTGCAGAAGAACCAGGAACTCTAGGGGCCCCTGAGGCTCAGAAAGAAACTGCATGGAAAGGGAGAAGGGAAGGCTCACTAACTGGCCCAGACAGGAGACCCTGTGGCACAGCCATGCGTATAGTCAGGCTCCTGCTGAAGGACTGCTGTCCACTGTGGCCTGTGGCCTCTGGGTGAAATGGCCCAGCCTCAGGCTTAGGAGGCAGGAATCACAAGTCACCTATACAGAGAGCCAGTGGGATGACTGTGACACAGGCCAAAGGTGCAGAGGAGCAGGCCCAGGTGGAGTAGGACTTCAGATGAATAAAGTCATTGCAAGGTTGTGGGAAAGCCAGGCAGTGGCTCTCTAGGGGTGAAACATGGCGGACAGAGCCCCCTCCAAAATCAGCTGGAGATGGAGACTCAGGAGAGGAGAAGAAACTCTCTTCTAAGCCTGAGATCTGAGCAATGAGGACCTGGGGGAGGCAAGTGCTGTCTTATTTGGAGGGTGAGAGAAGCCAATGGCAGATGGTGTTCCATCTGGACAGAAGCAGAAGGCTTGTGGCTGGACCAAAGCCCTCCAGAACCAGAAGCAAAGTCGGCTGGGAAAGCATCGCAGGTCTGTGCCCATGACCTTTTATTCGAAGTTTCCAAGCACCGCCTTAGAGGAGAAGCCAGGGGTTTTGGTCCTTGTGCAATTACTACAGGAACTTTCTGAGATGTTGATAACCTTTGTTGTATCTGTCTCCCACTGTGAGTAGCAGAAAACCTTTGCAAATGAAAAGGGTCTCTGCTCTGCTGTGGGTGGGGTGGGACAGAGGACTCTGTCTCTAGGCTGCAGCTGGTCTTCAACAGAGAAGATTGCTCCTGGATAGATCCCTAGGGGCAGCTTAGAAAGGAAAGGAAATCAGGCTGACCCTGGGGCCCCCTGAAGAGCAGGAATAGAATGTGCAAGAGGATTCCCCACAAACATTTCTCACCTTCTCATTTGTTCACTGCATGCTCACTGTTCTCTGGATATGAAGTATCCCTTCCATCCCTGCTGCCTTGAAAACTCCTACTCATCCTCTGATACTCTATCCCATGGACACCACCTCTGGGAAGATTTCAAATCTCCAGGTAACACTGGCTGCTCTGATCAACTAGTTTCCAGCCATACTTTGTTCTGTTTTTATCCATCTGTTTATGGTCAAACTGAATCTTCCCTGGCTCCCTCTCTCTTATTGGACTATGAGCTTTATAAGGGCAGAGGTAGGTGCCATATTCATTTTGTACATGCTGTACAAAGCACTCTGCAGATAGAAAATGTATGTTTGATGAATGAATAAAAGAAAGAGCTAGAGAAGAGCACAGAGCACATCATGGGTGAGGCAAAGAAGAACTTCCAGTAGCAAAACTCTGCTTTCTGACAAAGTGCACAGGCAACTTGGCTGGGACCCACTTGTTACATAGCCTGTTACGCAACAGGCCACGTGATGCTCTTCCATCCTGGTAAATACCTTTCCCCAAGGGAGACACAGAGTTCTTATTCCTACCAGGCTGTCAACTCTCTGAAAAGCAGAGAGTTCAGAACCCAGATGCTGTGTCAGTGTACAGCAAGGGCAAGCAGTCTGCTGCTTGGATGTCTCCAGTTCTCAGACTTCCTATCTTGATCTCTGTCATATAGGAGGGATGCTGGCGTCACACAGGTCATGTTGGCATGCTAGAAAAGACTCATCTCCCAGAGGTCTGGGTGCTCCCTCCCTACATGTATATACTCAGCTGGACAAATGAAATGCTTGGAATTCATGTAATTCTATGCTGACAGGTGTCTGTCAAATCCTTCAGTTCACCTGTCCTGGTGCAGCACCCCTCCTAGGCACCCACATCTCTGGCAAGAGGGCCTGAACTTTACTGAGAATGAGTATTAGCATTTTGTTACTGCTACCAGCTGAGATTTATCCTAGTGCCCAGGATCCTCTTAACAGTATGAAAGCATATTCTTCATAATGAGCCTAAATCCCTTCTCTTGATCATTGCTGAGGCTTAAGATTTAGTAAAAAAAATTGCTAGTCATCAGGCATCAAGGAGTAAAAATTGTTTGATGCCACCCAAGCACCCCTGTCATCCCAGAAGCAGCTGCCAAGATGCCTCACCTTCTTGAAGGAGGTGAGCAGCTTGACGCTCACATAGCCCATCTTGTTCCGCCGAACGTGCTTCAGCAGAAAGGCGTCCTTCTCCAGGTTTTCATCAGAGAAGTAGAATTCTATCTGATCCACCAGCTTCCTGATGAGTTCCTCATCTGGGGGTTTCCACTCCTGCTCCAGATCCTCACGCTCATTCTCACCCCCACTTGTTGTGGCACCACTGAGACTGGAAGAAGACAGTGAGTTACAAGAGGAACCATGTCCCTCCTGAATTCCTGTGTAGTCTCCTAGCCCCGGGAGCTCAGAAGGTGGCCTGAATTGGAGACAGGGTCATTGCAGATGGATTAGTCAAGATGTCACAGTGGATATTGTTGGCCCTAATCCAATACAATTGGGGTCTTTATAAAAAAGGGATTGGGAGCACAGACACGCATAGGAGAAGCCTGTGGGAAGATGAAGGTAGAGGACAGGGTAACGCAGCAGAAACCAAGGAACGCCACAGACTACAACCAGAGGCCAGGGAGAAGCCGGGAATGGATCCTTCCCCAGGACCTGGAGAGGCACAAGGCCAGCTGATCTCTGATTTCAGACTTCCGGTCTCCAGAACCACCAGATGAGACATCTCTGCTGTTCTAAAGCACCTTGCTTGTGGCTCTTTGTGACAGCAGCCCTAAGAAATTACAATGGACAAGCCTGAGTGGACCCCTCAGGAGGAGTGATTACATGTCCCTAACCACCTAAGCAATCAAGGTTTTGTTTCTAACCAGTATAGAAGATCCTTAAAATAATAACACCACTACCTACATTTATGTGGCGCTCTGTGAGAAGAGCAACCTGATCTTTGAACAAGATCCTCCAAACCTGCTAAAAACACAAACTGGATTTCTTAGCTGGTTGGGGGAATGAAGCTTCTCCCTTTGTGGCCAAGTGATCACCTCTGATAGATCCAGTTCAGATGTCACAGTGTAGAGTCGAACACAGGTGCTTGGGGAATATGTACATTTAGCAACTGGAAAAAGAAGAGACCAAAAGGCCAGTCAAATGGGGAGAAGAATCAGACTTTTTAAAAGTTACCTAAGCCCCAGGGGGTCAGAGAGTATCAAGAAGAAGATGGCAATGCCAAAGACCCACCTGAAAAACAGCTACACAGGTGCACAAGCAACAGCCAGAGGCCCACCCCAATACCATTGGTAAGTTCACACAGATCCCAGCAGCAAGCTGGTGTGGACCAGAGCAGCATGGCTGCAGGCAGGTCCACCCAGGGCCCTGCCCTGACTCTAGCCTCTTGGGCCCACAGGCCCCAGCCAAAGGCCCACCTGGAAAAGAGCTGCACAGGCACACAAGCAACAGCCAGAGGCCTGCCCAGATTCAATCCCTAAGTGCTCGCAGATCCTAGCCAGAAGCCCGCTCAGACAGCAGCTACTGGGGTGCACAGTCCCCATCCGAAGGCCCTCCCAGAAAACAGCTACACAGATGGGCAGGCACCAGCCAGAGGCATACCTAAATACCATCCCAAGTGTACAAAGGGCCCACTCAGAACCCCGCCTGGACAACAGGATAGCACAGGGATCCAGAAGGCCTCCAATCTGAACCCAGGAATTGGTGCAGTGGTAAGCAGCAGAGAAGAGGCTGCTCGGTGGCTTCCTGAGAATTCAAGACCACTGGGTGAGCAAAAAGTTGCCTCAACAAAGGCGCAGCAGTCTGCATCTACTGAAATGAGAAGACACATAAATAAGTCTCAAAGCCAGACTTCCAGAACACCTAAGGCAACCCCAAGATCAATGAGATGTAACAATCTGATACTCAACCACCTGGACTCCCTGAACTGGCAATGAAAGAGGATCTTGAAAAAAATGAGATCAGAAATAATTTAGACATAACAACAGAGATTGTGTCCATAGTGCAAGTTATGATTAATAAATCTAGAGAGGATACAAATTTTAAAAAATAGAGGACCTAAGGAATATGATGGAATCCCAACATAGGAAACACATGGAATCCATACAACAGATGCAAACATTTCCAGGAGATTAAAAACTCCATTGAAAGTTTATGTAGCCAAATAAGCCAATGTGAGGACAGAATATCAGATATAGACAACAGGACTGCAATTAGTGACCAGGAAAAGAAATATTTCTTAAAAAATAGTAAGGGACTATAAGAAATCAATCCAGCAGCTGCTAGATGATGCAAAGAAGAATAACATAAGACTGATAGGAGTCCACAAAAAAGCAGGAGAAAGTACAAATGACATTAAAAAAACTGTTCACAGAAGTAATACTAGAAAACTTCCCAAGCAGTGGAAAAGAACTTGACATACAAATAAGTGAGGCATATAGGACTCCAACTAGCCTTGATCAAAAAAAAAAATCTACACATAGGCATATAATAGTTAAGTTTCCAGAAACCCAATAGAAGAACAAAATTCTACAAGCAGTTAGAGAAAAGAAACAAATCACATACAAAGGAAAGCCCCATCAGAATCACAGCAGACTTCTCAACCCAAACCCTCAAGGCAAGAAGAGCTTGGAGTGACGTATTTCAACCCCTAAAAAAACAACCTCCAACCCAGATTGATGTACCCTGCAAAAGTATCTTTCAAAATTGATGGAGAAATAAGATACTTTCATGACAAAGAGCACTTTAGGAACTTCATGAATACCAAACCAGCACTCCAAAAAATTACAAACAATACCCTAGGAAAAGACAATGAGGATCACAACACCAGGAAGCCCAGCAGAATGAATCCATCAGGAAGGACAAGAAATTAAATGCAAAGGGGGAGAATCCAATAACAGGAAAAGGTCATGACAAGGATAAGTCCATACATATCAGTTATAACCATCATTGTTAACAGTCTCAATTCACCAATAAAAAGAAATGAACTAGCAGAATGGGTCAAGAAGCAAGACTCAACAATATGCTGCACACAAGAAACACACTTAATTCAAAAAGAAACTCATAGAGTGAAAGTAAAAGGGTAGAAAAAAATCCTCCATGGGACAGGAACCTGAAAAAAAGCAGAAGTAGCTATTCTCTTTGCAGATCAAGTGGTTAACAAATCAACACTGATTAAGACAGACAAAGGACACTACATCCTTGTAAAGGGAACAATCCAAGAGGAAGAGATGACAATCATAAATATACATGCACCAAGTACTAGTGCATCCAGCTATATAAAATAAATATGAACAGACATAAAAACTCAAATAAACACTAATACAATAGTAGCAGGGGACCTCAATACCCTACTGTCACAAACAGATACATCAACTAGACAGAAAATAAACAACAAAATACTAGAACTCAAATTCTTGAACAAATGAACTTAACAGATGATTACAGAGTGTTCCACTCCACAAAATCACAATACACATTCTTTTTGGCTGCACAAGGGTTGTTCTCCAAAATAGATCACCTACTTGCTCATAGAACATGTTTAAGTAAGTGCAAAGGAATTGAAGTTATCCCCTGTATATTATCAGAACATAGTGCAATGAAATTGGAGATCAACAGCAAAAGAAACTGCAAGAATTTCATAAACACATGGAAATTGAACAACACACTTCTGAATAACCAATGGGTCACAGAGGAAATTAAAGAAGAAATCAGTTCCTACAATTAAATGACAATGTCAATACAACGTACTGGAATCTATGGGACACATTGAAAGCAGTCTTATGAGGGAAATTCATGGCAGTAAATACTCATGTTAGGAAAACAGAGCAAGCCCAATTAAACAACCTGCTGCTGAACCTCAAGCTTCTAGAAAAAGAAGAGCAGGACAAACCCAAAGCTCATACAAGGGAGGAAATTATAAAGACTGAGCAGAAATCAATGCAATGGAGACTAAGAGAACAATAAAAAAAGAATCAGTGAAGCCAAGAGTTGGTTCTTTGAAAGAATAAACAAAATTGACAAACCCTTAGCCAACCTTATCAGAAAAAGGAAAGAAAAAGCCCCAATCCATGCAATTAGGAATGAAAAGAGTGAAATTACAATGGGCCCAGCAGAAATCCAGAGGATCATCAATACCTCCTTTGAGAATCTATATGCCAATAAGATTGAAAACACAGAAGAAATGGACAGATTCCTAGATATGTATGAATTACCAAAGTTGAACAAAGAAGACCTAAAAATTCTAAACAACCCAATATCAATCAATGAAATTGAAAACGTAATTAAAAACTTACAATTATGAAAATCCCAGGTCCTCGTGGCTTCACTGCTGAATTCTACAAGACATTTAGAGAAGAGCTATTGCCAACAGTGTTTAAACTCTTCAACGAAATTGAAAGGGAAGCAATACTCCCAAATTCATTCCAGGAAGCAAGCATCACTTTGATCCCCAAACCGAGAAAGACCCAACCGAAAAAGAGAACTGTAGGTCAGTCTCACTAATGAACATAGATACAAAAATCCTCAATAAGATACTGGCAAATAGAATTCAGAACATCATCAAAAAGATCATACACCCTGACCACATGGGATTCATCCCAGGATGCAGGGATGGTTCAACATACACAAGAACAATAATGTAATGCACTATATTAATAGAACGAAGGAAAAAAACTATATGATCATCTCAATAGATGCAGAAAAAGCATTTGACAAAATCCAACACACATTTATGATAAAAACTCTACAAATAATTGGAATAGATGGTCTCCACTTCAACCTAATAAGAGCCATCTATGAAAAAACAACAGCCAATATCATACTAAATGGTCAAAAACTGAAACCCTTCACACTAAAGTCAGGAACAAGACAGGGATGTCCATTATCACCACTCCTGTTCAATACAGTTTTGGAAACATTAGCCACAGGAATTGGACAAGAGAAAGAAATAAAAGGAATAAGCATAGGAAATGAAGAAGTTAAATTGTCATTATTTGCTCTCATCATTATATGATACTCTATATTGTCAAATTGTCATTATTTGCTCTCATCATTATATGATACTCTCTTTAGAAGACCGCACAAACTCCACCAAAAGTCTTCTAGACTTAATAACCAAATTCAGTAAAGCAGCTGGATACAAGGTCAACACACAAAAATCAATAGCTTTCCTCTACATGAACAACAGACTCACTGAAAGAGGAACTGGAGAAACAACTGCCTTCAAAATAGCATCCAAAAAACTGAAATACGTAGGAATCAACCTAACAAAAGAAATCAAAGACCTCTTCTCTAAAAACTATAGCACTCTGAAAAAAAGAGATCAAA